CCCCCGGTGCGGCACCTGGGTGGCTCAGTCGGTTAAGCATCCAACTTCGGCTCGGGTCATTATCTCGCTGTTTGTGGGTTTGAGCCCCATGTTGGGCTCTGTGCTGACAGCTCGGAGCCTGGAGCCTGCTTCAGATTCTGTCTCCCTCTCACTCTGCCCCTCCCCTGCTTGTGCTCTGTCTCTCTTTGTCTCTCAAAAATGAATAAATGTAAAAAAAAAAAAAGTGAATATGGGGGCGCCTGGGTGGTTCAGTTGGTTAAGCGTCCAACTTCGGCTCAGGTCATGATCTCACAGTTCGTGGATTTGAGCCTTGCATCAGGCTCTGTGCTGACAGCCTGGAGCCTTCTGATTCTGTGTCTCCCTCTCTCTGCCCTTCCCTCGCTTGTGTGCTGTCTCTCTCTCTCTCTCTCTCTCTCAAAAATAAATAAACATAAAAAATTTAAAAAACAAAAGGTGAATATGTGAGAAGATGGGTGGGTGGGGAGAAATCCTTTCACAGTGTATAGGCACGTGAAATCATCACATGGTACGCTTGTAAATATCTTACAGTTTTCTCAGTTATACTTTTACTATAAAACTGGGAAAAAATCCAGTCTTTTATTGTATCTCACAATTCTGTAGATGGGCGGGGTGGTTCTCGTACAGGCCTCCCTCGGGGTCTCTCAGGATTTGGATGGGAGGTGAGCACTGGGACTGGTGCTGTTGCCTCTCTTGGCCTCCTTCGCCCATTCTCTGAGTCCTTTCCTTCACACACTGTGCCGGGCACCATTCCAATTGCTGGGTTATCATATGGAATAGTACAAATGAAGGCCAGACCCTCAAACAGCTTACATTCTTAAATTCTGACATTGCAAAAATACCCAGGAAACAAATCCATTATGATGTGATGTAGGTGGGTAGGAGGCTACTTTGGAGTGATCAGAGAAGCCCTATTTGAAGTAACACTTGAAGATCTGGGGGACAAGGATTTGCTAGTGCAAGTTTCCAGGGCTTGAAGGGACTTGGGGATTTAAAGCAATGTGCAAAGTCCAGTGTGTTTGGGGAGAAGTAAGTGAGGAGACCAATTGGGTTAGGTCACAGAATTAGTCAGAGGCCAGGTCATGAAGGGCCCTGAAAGCCATTAAGGACTTTGGATTTCATCCTGGGTAATAGGAAGTTTTTAAATCATAAATGTATTAATTCGTTTGTTGAAAAGATCACTCTTGCCTTAGAGAAAGGGGTCAAGGGTGAAAACAAGGAGACTAAATAAATAGGCTGTTGCAGTAGGTGCTGGAGGCTTGGACAGGGTGAAAGCTGTAATTCTGGGAAGTCAGTAGATTCCAAATATATTTTGAAGGCATCTCTAGTAAGCACTGCTGATAGGTTGCATTGGGTGAGTGAAAAGAAAGGAGAAAACACAGAGGTTCTCAGGTTTCTCTTTTGAGCAGTGGGATGAATGAAATACCATTCACTGAGAAGACTGTAGAAGAACATTTTTTATTTGGGGTGATGCAAGAAGCAAATATAAAATTTTATCTGAACATGTTGAAGTATGTTATGCTTCCTCAATAATTTGTAATTGAACTAGATGGTTTGAGGTTTACCCAAACTGCAAAAATAAGCCAGGTTATAGCAAAGTGTCCTGCTATCTGGGAAATTAGAATAACTGGTAAATATTTAAAGTATAAGTTCATCAAGCAAGTTAGTATTTCTGTTAGGATAATAGCTACAATTTGTTAAAGGGTTTTTGTTTGAACCATATGAAATTATGGATATCGACAATTTTGAACTTGAAATGGCAATATCCTATGGTTCATCCCAGTACATAGTAGCCACGGAATTATTTCTTTATATATGAATGAATAAATATTCACAAAAAGCCTTAAGGTAGGCTTTTTGTTATCTTACAGTTGATAAAATGGAAATTCTGAAAGAGGTTAACTAACCTGCCACAGGGATGGTGACAAGAAAGTAGGCAAGGAGGAATGAAAACAAGGTCTTTCTGACCTAGCATCTGAACTTTAAGCCACAAAGTCATACGACCAAGATCTCTAGCCAAGGAGTCCTGCTGCTTCCAAACGAGAAAAGCTTCAGACCTCATACACAGATATGCAGATACAAGAGTGCTTGGTCTGATTGGATGGAGAATTGCCGACTGTCTCTCTTCTGGAGAGACCCAAGTCCAAGTGGACCTTACAAGCCAGCACTGCATTTTACAAGTAGATACATTGAACAAAAAGAAATCAGATAGTCAATACTATTAAAAGTTTCTCAAAAATTCCCATCAATTTCTTCAAAAATTTCCATATTCCCTTCTATAATCATCACTGAACTTCTCTATGCTACAAAAATATTAACTATAAAACAAGTGAGTCTAACCTCAGAGAAAGAATATATAATGTCACAGGTTGGAGCTTATCACTAGTCAACAAGCTTTGACCACTTTTATCAAATGCCTCAGAGCACATTTATTACTGTACTCTCAAGCATTCTTATACACTATTAGAAGTGATACTGCCCATGAGTGAGATTCAATATGGAAAACATGTAAAATGTGTTATCAGTTATAGGGTCTTCAAGCTTCTCCCTCTTTACATAGTTTCTAGGTTATCTAGATTTCATTAAAGTGAACACTACATGTGGATCAATTAGGAACTCTATAAATACAGTATATCAGTTTGATCCGTTAGTGCTTAGTTGTGTAAGACAAAGGCTGACAAAAGTTTCCATAACTAAAAAGCTTTCTGTCTACCCTTGGGAAGAGTATTTCCCACATAGCTCTTATATTAGCAGCGTCAATTAGAGCCAACTATTCCTGGTGGTAAGCAATAGAAATAGTCACTTGTCAATTAAATCACACTCCTACTAATGGAAAATTGAATTTTTTATTTAATAAGCATGTGAATCTGGGGCCCCTGGGTGGCTCAGTCAGTGAAGCGTCTGACTCTCGATCTTGGCTCAGGTCATGATCTCTCAGTTTGTGAGTTGGAGTCCTGCATTGGGCTCTGCACAAGCAAAGCCTGCTTGGGAATCTCTCTCTTCCTCTCTCCCTGTCCCTCCCCCATCTGCATTTCCACGCTCTCTCCCTCTCTCTCTCAAAATAAATAAATAAACATTTAAAAAATAACTAAATTAATCTGTTCTTCAATACTATATTGATCAGGGGGTCTCTGAGTAGAGGAGCTAGTATAGTAGCTACTCCCCACATTGGTGCAAAAAAAATAATAAAGTCAGTACTTATTTTTTTTTAACGTTTATTTATTTTTGAGACAGAGAAAGAGCATGAATGGGGGAGGGTCAGAGAGAGAGGGAGACACAGAATCTGAAACAGGCCCCAGGCTCTGAGCTGTCAGCACAGAGCCCGACGCGGGGCTCGAACTCACAGACTGTGAGATCATGACCCGAGCTGAAGTCGGACGCTCAACCGACTGAGCCACCCAGGCGCCCCAGTACTTATTTTTTTAAGGGCCAGTACTTATTAGTCTATAAGTTCTCAGCCAGCTTCAATGTTATTTTAGTAATAATAATGGTAATAATAATAATAAATACTATGTACCGAATTCTTACTACATGCCACATACCATGATATGTGCATTACAAACATCTTTGCATTAAAATCTCCTAACAATCCAGTGGGATAGGTTGTATTATCTTTGTTTTGACTGAAGCTTAGAGATGTTAAGTAACTTCCCAATGTCCAAAACTGCTGCAGAGCTAAGATTTAAACTCAACCATTTTGGCCTCAAAACCCATGCTCTTCCCCCTATTATATGTGTGTGTGTGCATGTGTAACGGTAGAGCTGATTACTGTGAGTTTACTCTTAGTGCAGGTGATAAATGGCAATGCCTGTGTTATAAAAGTGGTCAAAGAGTCTAGAATTTTGAGCCCAGCCTGAAAACTAGCTTTATGTGCTTGCTTTTTTTGGTGATCCTTTGTATCTGTAAAAAGTTATATATGTGATTTTCATATTCAAAATGTTTCTACAATTAGACTTCCTAAAAGTAATTATTTTGTAGTTGAAGTCAATATTTAATTGGTCAGATGTGTCTGATTATTTACAGAGATGGATTATTTAGTGATATTCTTGGCTTTGGCATTAATGCAAAAAACACAGTAGGAAAGAATTGTGGAAAGATAACCGTTTAAAGTATGTATTAATTTTGGGGTTGCCCTCCCACACTGTGCACACGCATAGACAAATGTCATAAGAAAATCAGGATGACAAATTATTCAACCAT